GAGGTTTGTCTAATGCAAATTAGTAATGAGACGAGAGGAAGGCTGGTCTCTAGCTCGCGACTGAGCAGGCTCTCTGAGTGGCTGGGAACCCTTTCCATCTTGTTGACAAACACATGCTGCAAGACAGGAAATTACCCTCCTCAGTGCCTGTTTTATCTCTGCTTAATTGCTGTTTGGTAATAAATTACAACACAGAGTCCATTAATTAAGTCAACAAGGTCTGTGGAACACCAATTCCTTCTTCTGGGAGTTGCCTTGTTACAGGAGCTCTGACGCAGTCTGTTTGCCCACAGCACTTTATGAAGCGGTTTAAAAAGATGCCAAGGCATCTCCTAGCCTAGAGGGAGTAGGTTTGAGAAGGAGGGGGAGGGAAGCTTGATGGGCGAGGGAGGGACACCTGGCAGCTGGAGCGCGGTCCCCAGGGTGCGCTCTAATTCAGAACACGTGGTGGGAAAGAACACAACATTAAATTTGCTTTCAAAAAAATCAGCTGACGGAAACAACCATGACCCACACTTAGAGGCACTCATCCCAGAGGTAGGGGCAGCGAGGAATGGCCTAATCTGGCTCGCCATTTCATTAACAACCAAACGGCAGGGGCACTCATTACGAAAGGTTTTGCATGCAGCTGGAACCTGTGAAAGAGGAATTCTAGATTTTTCAACAAAGACCCCAGTACTGGGCTGTGGGAGGCCACCAAGCTCCCAGCAGGACAGAAATTGGTGCCAGACTCCTGTCTGGGCAGGGAGTAGGCAGGTGGCCACCTTCAGGGCAAAGACTGTCATTACACTTCGACCCTGTCGTCTGGGAGGTGGCTCCCTGGGCGTTTGAGCTGGATCTGTTTAGCAGGTGACCTGGTGGGACCTTGAGGGAGGGGACGCAACAGGAGTTAAGGCTCTGGATAGAAGGATAAGGAAGGTCAAGTTCTCAGGGGGTCTGTCCCAGACTATTTGGAGCAGTGGACATCATAAGGGTGTTAGAGGGGGTTCTGAGCAGCCAGGGCCCACGGGGAAGGCAGGCAGCCTTGGGGGTAGGTGCCACAGGTGCGGAGACAGAAGCGGCTGCCTCCGCGAGCTCCGTGAGTGGCTCAGAAAACGTTCCCCCGAAACACCCAAGTTAAAATGCACAGCTTGGAGCCCTGTGAGGAAGTGCTCAGATCTCCGGGAGACATCAGAGCATCTTTACTCCCTTTCCCATTCACGGAAGTTGGCTTCACAAGCCAGTTTTTGATTATGCAAAGATCTCCAGGTGATAGTGTCTATTATATGACAGTAAGAGCTCAGTTCAAGTGTGACCTATTCAGAAGACTGGACAAGGAAGCCCGCGAGTTCTGTGTTCTACAAGCGACTCCTGGCATTTCCCAAAATGATGGCCCCGTACAGCCCAGTGGCCTGGAGTGGACATCCCCAGGGCTCAGTCCAGGCTTCTGCTGCCCTCCTGGCCCAAAACCACCGTGTCCCATCTCCTCTCCCAGCCATCTCGCCTGAGACTAGTTGGGATGGATCACTAGCTTGTCATCTGGCCTCTCCCAAGATGCAGCCTCTTAAAAGGCTGACCTGTCCATCCCCTGTGGGCCACAACTCCCCACCTCCATTTCCCCTGCCACCAAGGCTTCCGGGTACTTCACTCCTCCAGACCCTGGGGGGGAAACCTGCAGAGTCAGTAGGGGCTGAAGGCCAGGATGTTTCCACAGCGACCATCCCTCTCGCAACTCCTCTGGGACCAGCTGTGCCTTATTTAAATGTATCATTTCCTCCCCACCCCTGCCCCTGAGGTGAACCTTCAATGGCTCCCCAGTGCCCTTAGAATCAAGTCCCCAAACCCCCAATCCAGGATCATCACATTGCCTGGGGACTTGTTAGAAATGCAAAATTTCAGCCACCCTCCCCCCCCAACTCAGAAATTCTGGGGATGGGGCCCAGTAACCAGTGCTTTCACAAGCCTTCCGGGTGATTCTGCTGTATCCTGAAGTGTGAGAACCAGTGCCTTGGAGCAGGCCTTATCAGGCCATTGGAGATCTGCCTCCCCACCTCTCTTCTGCCTCATCTCTCAGCACTGCCTTCCCTCTTACATCCTTGGCCCCCGGCCCTGGGCCACCTTCTGCCTCCTAGAGTCCAGCAGCCCCGGCTGTCTTGCTCTTTCCACATCTTCTGCACTGTAGGTTTCCTGGTCTTTCCCCCTCAAGGGTAAACCACTTGAGAGCAGGCACTGCATCTTACCAACACTTGCGACTAGCGCCTGTGGTAGGTGCCCAAGACCTATCAGTCGAGTGAATGAGTAAATGACAGGATGAGGACACTCACTGGATTCTTTTGCCTGTGTTGCCTTTGATGCTAAAGCTGTGTTTCTCTAGGGAAAAAAGCAAGTCTAGGCTTCCTGGTCATTCTTCTGTTCCCCACGGGCACTTTTAGCCAGTTGTTGGTTGTGGTAGGGATCAGGAAATAATCTTGAATTAAATGGAATGGATTTGAATTTAAAATGCTTGGGTTCTGGATATATGCCCAGGCGTCAGATTACTGGGTCATATGGTAAGACACCTGCACCCCAGTGTTCATAGCAGCACTATTCACAATAGCCAAGACATGGAAACAGCCTAAATGTTCATTGACAGATGACTGGATAAAGAAGTTGTGGTATATTTATACAATGGAATACTACTCAGCCATAAAAATCGACAACATAACACCATTTGCAGCAACATGGATGCTCCTAGAGAATGTCATTCTAAGTGAAGTAAGCCAGAAAGAGAAAGAAAAATACCATATGGGATCGCTCATATGTGGAATCTAAAAAAAAAAAAGAAGATGAAGACGAATGAACTTAAATATACAGACTCATAGACATAGAATACAAACTTGTTGCCACAGGGGTGGGAGGGACAGACTGGGAGTTCGAAATTTGTAGATACTGACAGGCATATATAGAATAGATAAACAAGTTTACAGTGTATAGCACAGGGAAATATATACAAGATCTTGTGGTAGCTCATGGTGAAAAAGAATGTGACAATGAACATATGTATGTTCATGTATGACTAAAAAATTGTGCTCTACATTGGAATTCGACACAACATTGTAAACTGACTATAATTCAATAAAATAAATTAAAAACAACAATAACAAATAAATAAAATAAATAAAGATAAAAAATTTAAATGCTTGGGCTTGTAACATTCATAGTGGCACTATCTACAACAGCCAAGACATGGAAGCAACCGAAATGTCCATCAACAGATGACTGGATAAAGACGATGTGGTATATAGATATACAATGGAATACTACTCAGCCACAAAAAAGAATTAAATAATGTCATTTGCAGCAACAGGGATAGACACAGAGATTATCATGCTAGATGAAATAAGTCAGACAAAGACAAATATTATATGATATCACTTATATCTAGAATCTAAAAAAATGATACAAATGAACTTATTTACAAAACAGAAACAGACACAGACATAGAAAACAAATTTAGGGTTACCAAATTAGGAGTTTGGGATTAGCAGACACAAACTACTATGTATAAAACAGATAAATAAGGTCCTACTCTATAACGCAAGGAACTATATTCAATATTTGTAATAACTTATAGTGAAAAGAATATGAAAAAGAGCATATATATCTGTATAACTGAATCACTATGCTGTACACCAGAAACTAATACAACATTGTAAATCAAATATGCTTCACCAAAAAAAAAAAAAAAAGCTTGGGTTTGACTAGAGAGCCTGGGTTCCAGTCTACTTTGCTCACAGGCATGCACTCCTCTGTGCCTCAGTTTCCTCACGCTGCCTGCTTACCTCCCAGGGTGACCACAAGGAGTGGAGGACTCAGGATTCACCTGCCTGGCCATGACTTGTTCACTTTCAGAGGACCCATCACACACCGAAGGGCACTGAGACTCTGGACTATGAGCACTACCTGTGGTGATAGTAGAAGAAATACAGCTCTCCCCTGCCAGATACGGGCTTAACGGGAAAGCAAAAGTGCTATGAGCAGAGAAAACTGAAGAGCCATGAATGCACGTGTGAGTATGTGTGTATGACCGATGCACGTGAACATGTATGTGATTGTGTGTGTTCATGGAACACGAGAGAGACAAAGGGAGCTTACAGGGCATTTTGTCCACTGTCTTCCTTTTACAGATGAACAAATTGACACCCGGAGAGAGAAATCTGAGTCTGGCTTAGAACCAGCCATCTCGTGTTCCTCTGAAATGGAATATAAATGTTTTCCCAGTTTGCAGCTTGCCTTTTATTACTTTTCGTTGACATAAAAATGTCTTCAATTTTTATGCATGTCAAGTCTAATGACATTTGTGGATCTGTTTTCTCCCAATTCTAGAGGATTTCTGCTAAGCTCTTGGTGCACGCACCCATATTTGCACACACGCTGTGAGCTAGCACAAAGCTGTCAAAGGGAATTCATTTACCAGGCTCTACTTTTACTTTGTTGCTTGATTGTTCTGCGCTTTTGGCTATATTTGGTATCTCCTGGGAGACCAGAGGCACACGTATTCTTTGAAATGTGACTGCAAACACATTCCTCCTTCCCAACCAGTGCCTGCCACTTGTACCAGGGCTTATAGACTGTCACACGTACCGCCAAACTGATGATGGCCTTTCAAAATGGACACGCCAATCAGCTTCTCATGAGGGGATCTGCTAACTCGTCCTCTGAAGTTGTAAGAGGCACACTTGGTGATAATTAAACATCTGTACTCATGGCATGTATTTGCCTGCTAGCAAATGACTCTGAGGGTTATGCACAGTTTCCTTTCAGTACGAAATGTGCCCCTTGATCCTCTTAATATTTGTGCTGATGCCACCACTTGTGACTCTTTTCCCCCAGCCCCTCCAGGGAAACAATCAGAAAGCTCCTCATCGCTCAGAACAGGTGACAACTACCAAAGCAGAGGACAGCAGAAGTCCCAGAAGTCCCACATGTTCCCTGTGGGCCCGGTGAACTTACTCCCTTCCTGGCCAGAGACGGGCTCCTACCTGAGGTCCCCAGCCATGGCACGGGTACAGTATTGCTGTGTGGTTCTCCAGCGGCCCCTGGTCCAAGCAGACGTCTTTTGCCTTGTTGTTGCGAAGCTGCAGAAATAGGTGAAATGTGATCCATCAGAGCTCATCTGGTGGAGCTGCTGGTCCCCAACCACCTCTCCACCATGGCTGGGTTCTGGCTTCTTGATGCAAAAGGCCACAAGACACCCTCCACCCCACCCCCGCCCCAAGTAAGGACCAAGGCGTAAGTCTCTGAGGTGATCACGTTAGCAAGACAGACTAAGTCCTCCACTGGATGGTGTGGGCACCAGCCCTCTGCCTGTGACCCCCACCACCCCAGGCACACAGCTCCCCCAGCCCCGACACAAAACAGGCTCTCAGAGAACTTTAGGACATAGGAACACTGATTACACATTGGTTATCCAAAGTGGATCTCAGCCCCAACACTGGTTTTCATAACCCTGGGAACCACAGGTCAGCTTCTCAGGTCATTACTGGCATAGAGGCATGAAAAACAACAATCAAAAAAGTAACAGCAAAACAAAACAAAAAAACCTTGCCATCATGAAAAGCTCAAGCAACATTTATTCGTATATTCAAAAAATATTTACTGAATGCCTATGCTGTGTCCAGCATCATTCGAGGTGTTTGGAACACATCTGTGGAGGAATAGACTAAAGCTCTCAAGACAACATCCCCGAATCTAGGCATGTCTCTTTGGAAGCATGTTAAGAACTTACCTGAGTCGGATCTCCAGGTCCACTGTGATTCCATATTGGTGACCATCCCACCCACTACCCCGCAATCTCGACCAGTGGGAAAACGGCAACGTTGTCGGTCTACCCCATATATCTGGGTCCTCTCCAGACTATATTCTCCATGGAAACCAAACTAAACAGGAATAAATCAAGAAGAGAGGCAAGGGACAATCTGCTTTTGTACACCCAAGTTGTGTCTAGGTTCAGACAACTGAGCAGACTTATAATAACTTCAGAAAAAAAATTTTTTTTTAAAATAACACCATCTCATTGAGATGTTTTGGAGAACAGAGGTAACAATTATTCACAATCCTTTCACACAATCAGTTAATTTTTTTCAGATTTTAGGAAAGTTTAGTTTTGTTCAGTTTTGACTATAATGAGCAACTTTATGCATAAAGCTTTGTTCACATTCAGAGTTTCTTAAGAACAGAATCCTAGAACTGGGGTAATGGTATCAAAGGGTATGGGGACCTTAACGTGCTTAAAAACTGCTGCCTAACTGCTTTCTGGAAGCTTTGGACTAATTTATATTCCTATTCACAAAGTATGTAAATACTTGCCAGTCCTGAGTTTGTACCATTTAGAAGTATTGTGTTGATCAAAGCATACAAACTTCCAGTTATATGATGAGTATGTTCTGGGGATCTATGTACATTACAGTATGGTGATCACAGCTAATGATATTGTATTATAAACTTGAAAGTTGCTAAGTATGTAGAAATCTTAAATGTCCTCACCACAAAAAAAGAAATCGCAATTAGGTGACATGTTAGCTAACACTATCGTGGTAATCATCTTGCAACAAGTAAGTATATTAAATCAACAAAGTGTACACCTTAAACTTACATGATGTTACATGTCAATTTTATCTCAATAAAGCCCAGGGCAGGGGGGCCGAGAAGAACACCAGCTTGCAGGGGTGGGGGTGGGCGGCGGTGGTGGTGGTGGTGGTGCAAACCAAAACAATGGAGGAGCATTTTTTTAAACCCAAGGTACCAAAGTCAGCACAGAGGAGTATAGAGAGAAGTGATTGATCAGATACATTGCACAACATTCCAAAGATGGTCCAAAGCAAGCTGTCTTTAAAGAATTACAAAGCTAGTTCTTTTATGGATGTTTTAAAGAAAGGCTTATTGCCAGTGTTTTCAGTGGTGTAAAGAGTAATTATATGGAAAAACCCAGATAACTTCTGAATCAAAAAGTAATTCAGAAGAGTTAGATTTTTGAAAGTGATGAAATTTAAGAAATACCTTTACCAATGTATTTTGCCCATGTTTTTCTTTTCATGTATACATAAGAGCAATACAGTAAAAAAAAAAAGTCTTCTGAAGTCTAACAAAGCTTTTAAAATAAGCATAAAATAAAAACTACAGGTGGTGAAAGTTAATAAAAATATTATTATTCTGAGAGCTGACAAAATATATCTTGTTGTTACAAATTTATACTGAATAGTAAATCGGAGTGTTTCATGTTTAGCAATTATTTCCCTTTGTGAGAATTATCTGTTTATTTCCCCTGGGATTTCAAATGGTTTTATTATAGATTTGCAAGAGCTCTTTACATATTAAGGATATTAATGTTTTTATGGCTTATGTGCTCCCTATAATGATTTCAGAATGCTAGGCTTTTAAATTTTGTTTCTAATGTTTATGCAAGCAAATCTATTATTCAGGAATTTCATAAATATTTACTGAGGGCCTGATAAGTGCTAAGTTTAATGAACAAACAAAGATCAAACAAATAAACAAATAAACAAACAAACCACCAGTCCCTGCCCTAAGGTAGGGCATGGTCTGGAGCAAGAGACAGACACAGGAAGAGATGGTACAATAACTGAATTATCCAGGGCAGCAAGGAGAATTCTCCCTGCCCCCCATCTGAAGGGTTCAGAGACTAAGGGGAGGTGACTCCTGAGCTAAATGTTAACAAGGATTAAGTGGAAGAGATGCTGGCAGTGTTCTATTTTTCACCCAGTGAGTGGCTCCAGGGATTTTTTTCCCCTTTATATTATTACACTGCACATGTTTCCTTTATGCACATTCTCTGTGTTGTATTTCATATTAATAACGCTTAAAGAAAAAAAAAGATAAGCAAAGTGAACTAGGGAACGGAGGACATACAGTATGAGCTGAGCACAGAATTTGGAGCAAGAGTTGGTGGCCAACGTTTCTGCACACACTGAGACGCTTTTGCAGGTGGGAAGGCAGAATCTTAACCGTGTAAGAGTCAGGACATAAAGCATTTGCATATCTTTCCTTAAACATTAATTTAAGACATCCCAGCTAATAGAGAGGCATAAAAATGTACAAATCAAAGAAAACTGACTTATTAACCTAAGTGGGCTTGAGCCCCAACACTGGTTGTCAGGTGAGGCAGAAACACCGGGGGCACCTGCTCGGAGGTGTCCGTTACTGTGCTGGGATCTGGTGTGGGGAAAAGAGTGACCCGCAGGGAGCTTTAAAACACCACCATCTGAATAATGGTAAATTCTGTCACTGAACCGAATGTGACTACAAAGTCATTCTCCAAGAAGGTGTAAAATGCAAATAATGTATAATAATATCTGGGTCTCAAATCCCACATTATATTAACAAAGACTGAAAAGCTGGTGAAAAGGTCCTTGAAAGTTCTTATATTACCACTTGACCCTTCATTGCGGAGGCTCAGAGATTAATTTTTAAAAAATGAGAGGTGATCAAAATGGAATTAAGAATAGGACGTATATACAGTTTCACATGACTAGAAAGCTTTTTAAAAGGCCCCAAACAAGCTGACTGAAAAAAAAAAAAGAGGAAAGAGCAAGGAGCATTAAAACCAGAAACATTCATTGGCCTTGGGAAAGACTCTCAAACAGAATTGTACATGAAAAGCAAAGGCTAGAAAGTACACATATAGTATTAGAGTCACCCTACTTTCCTCCTTTTCCCGCTGCTCTGGGGTCTGGGTGTGGTGAAAAAAACCAACGGGAGTGTTAAAAAATAGAGTTGTCTAAAGAATGCTAGATTTTGTTCCCAAACGGAATTTGATTCAGTTTGGTTTCTTTCATTTAAAGCTATAGTCCACCTGAAATATAGTTCAGTATATGGTGAGGTCAGCAAGCAGAGAAGAAGTAATAGAAGCCAATGACCTAAGATGTTAACACTGATCGTAGCTGGGAAATAGGATTTGAAGTAAGTTTCGTTTTCATCTTTATATTTTCTAGGTAAGTATGTATTGAAGTCATTAGTTGAAAAAGATAGGAAAATTTGTAAAAACAAAAGCCTTCCCCCTTCCAAAAATCAGATTATGATCTCTATGTTACCTCCAAGGCCACTCCACCCTTCACCTCCAGAGATATCATTTACACTCTGCCTCATGAGAATGGTAGGCCCCGGAGTTGTGCAGTGCACAGCCTGTGGAACTGTGCCCTGGCCTTCTTACAGTATTGTTCCATTTTTTTCTCTCTCTTTTCATAACTATTTTACTTCTAACTATAAAATTATCATGTAAACATTAGTGATAATTGGGAAAATAAAGCAAAATACCCACTAAAAACTGTCTGTCCCACTGTAGAAGTTTCCCCATGCTATTCTCTTACTTGCTTCCTTCCAATCTAAAATAGTAGCGAATCTAATTGTATAATTCTGACTTTTTCCTCTTAAGCATTGTATTATCAATATTTTTCTCACACTACTGAAATTTTGTATACAACTTTTGAAATGGCTGCAAAATATTTCAAACCATTAATACAATATATTTAACTAACCTTCAAGTTAAATTCAAATTTTTGATCAAGAGAAAAAAAAAAATCCCTGAGGTGAACAATTTTACTCTCAAGTCTTTGTCCTCATTTCAGATTATTTACTTGGGATAAGAGTGGAGAGGAAAGTGTGACTATCACTAAGCCTTTTAATACACGTGGTTCAAATTGCTTTTTAAAGCTTCAGTTGAATTTGTTTGAATTTGCACTCTCACCAGACGATATGTGGTTTTTCATATTACCAAGACGTTGTTGGAAAAGTACTAACATATATTTCCAAAATAAATCTTTGTTCATTTGGTAGAAGGAAAAAAGCTAACTCAGTGTGTATTTTGTATTTTAATTCCTTAGATGATGAAAGAAATTTTAGAAATTCGTCCACTTGTATTTTCTTTTGTACTTTGTCTATTTTTCTTCGAGGATGTTTTATTTTCTTATTTAAATGAACAGTTTTACTTAAATCGATTTGTGGAGTTCATTACAGATGAATGGTATTATCCATTCATCTGTAGTATTTATGGTTTGCATATTTCCAGCTTGGCATATTATTTCTCCATTCAGTTGATAGATGGATTATTTTAATATTTATGAACTCATATCAAATCCTTTTCCTTTTCTTCCATGGCTTTCATTCTTAGAAAGCCCTTCCCCTTTCAGAGTTCACATTTGTATCTATTTCTGTGTGCTCTGATTATGGTTTTTTTTCTTTCATTTAATGCTACAGGCCATCTGAAATATACTTTGGGATATACTATGCTGTAAAATTAAAAGTTTGTTTTTCCCAAAGAGCTAGGCAATTTATCCAATTGTCTTATGAATAATCCATTTCAATTGTCTTACGAATAATCCATTTCACTGCCCGCTGTCTTTCAATGCCTCCTTTATATTGGATCTTTGGACACAAAAAACCCCAAACAAAACAAAAAGAAACATGCTTTCATTTTGAAGAAGACAAGGTAGTCTGGACCTATTAATAGCTAGGAGGCTGTGCCAGGTATACTCCTAAGAACTCTACGAACGGCAATTCATTTCATCTTCCCAACAACCCCAGAAAGTAGGTAATTTTATTCCCCCATTTTACAGATGAGGAACTGAAGCTGAAACTAGGATTTGAATCCAGCAGGTTTCATGTGTCCCTGATTGCTACAAACCATGCCCTGTGAGAAGCAAGCTCCCCATCCAGATTCCAGCTCAGAAGGGACACCTCTCCCCAACCCTAATGATCCAACCTGGGGCTGAGTTACTTCCTACAAAAGGCTTCACGCAGAAAATAGAAAACTTCACATTTGTACAAAAAGGAAATGCTCTAAGTCCAAGAGAGTTTTCTTAGCTTCAGCCTGATTGTCACAGGGAGTTCCAGGCAGCCCTGGGAAGAAATCCAAATGCCAGAGCTGGTGGGGCATCTCTGGTATGTTCTATGTTTTCAGGCAAAACTACAGCACACACAAAAGGTACCATCTTATATAGCCATTAATAATGTTGCAGAAAAATGCTTAAATGACACAGAAAAATATTCTCCATCTATCATTAGCGTTTCAGATTATTAGGCATTGTGGACAGCCTGGTTTTAGTTTAAATTGATAGATAGGTGATTGTGTGTATAGAAAGTATATGAAAAAAAATTTTCATAAAAAGAAATATAAACATATACATAGTAAAGCAGGCCATACATCAAAAACGTACACGTTATCTATAGAATCTGAACGCCAACGTCTAATCCTGGCTTCACGAATTATAAGCTGTGAGACCTTAGATAATGTACTTAATGTCCTAACTCTCAGTGTTCTTATCAGTAAACTGGAAAAAACACTACTGCCTCCGAAAGTGAGGATGCAACGAACTCACGTGTGAAAGCATGCAGAACAGTGCAGGCACACTGAATGTGTTCGTTGCTATTATTGCTATTTTCAAAATTTTCTACAATGCAGATTTATGGCATTTGTCCTAAGAGAAAAGCCGACCTGTGTTAATATTCATAAAGGTGATATTATCTCATCATAGAACATTTCAGAAGAGCACCTGTACCCTTTCTTTGGCCCACGGCACTGGGCAGTGGACCGACAGCTCCAGTCCCTGCCTCTCTTTACGACCCAACTTCCTGCTCAACGTCCCACGGACAGGTCCCAGGGAACCTCAAAATCGAAATGTCCGAAACAGAACTCATGGTCCTCTCCGCACCCCAGGCACAGCGATGGCCCGTGCCCCCGCTGTAACGTTTATTACCTGTATCCCCGCCACCAGCTGGTGAGAGCCTTGCTGTCAAGGCCTCCACCTCCAAAAACTAATCACTGAATGAAAGAACGAACGAATGAATGAATGAGTGAGTAAATGACTCTGTTCCCTGTTCTCCCCCAGCACAGTGATCCAGAGCCCACTGCACAGCCGTCCAAGTTGAGCGCAGGCATGGTCTTAATTACCTCCCCGTAGGCAACGGTGTTATTGTATCTTCTCATTTCCGGGTAGACGTGGTCCAGGTACCACTGGAAATTCTTACACTTTAAACTTTTCCTTAAGGCTTTTCTTTCGGAGACATCACCTATGTCAATTCCTGGATTCTGAAAGTTAGCAAAGGGCATTAGCAACTGGGAAGCTCTGGCCAGAGAGGAGGACAGGCTTTGGGGCAATCATCAGAGAGAAATCTGAAGCCCTGTTTGATCACCTTGCCCCAAACTAGACACTGCTGTCCCCCGAGGGCAGCACGCAGCACCCGCAGTCAGCCTTCCTTACCATCACGAGAGGGATCTCGGGACACACTGATGTTGACAACCTGCCTTCTCCTCTCCATCGCCCCGACATTTCCTCAGTGACTCTCAGACCCCATTATTAGAGGAATTATTTGATCAAGACAAGAAAATAAATGGCTATAACCACCTCCCATCTTTCTTTCCTATATGTGTGTAATTTCCCCCTTTGCTGCCTCTTTGTGAAGTTCCTTCTATGCAGATGTGAAAATAATTTTCCATTGCAAAGCTTGTAATGATGTTCTAATGAATAATTCACTCTGCTTTTACAGAAATGAACCTGTAATGGGTTGCTGTGTGCTGACAGGGGGAAATAAAGCAGCTGAAATATGACTCCGCGGACTCAGCCACAAGATGGCTGTGACCCCGAGGAGGCAGGGGACTCCAATGCGGCGGGCAGCCAAGCAGCATCTCGAAGGAAGCGGAGAAGAGTGTAAATGATTTCATTACAATTTCTTCTTTGGCAGCCAAACGGTGATTTTCAAGGAAAGTCCCTTTAAATGTCAAACTTGTTAAAATTCAAAGGTAAACGTGGGCAGCGATATTTAACTCTTTGTTTGAATATACTTAGCATGATTAACGAGGACTTTCATTTGTGAAAAGCGTGGTGGGGAACACTGGCATTAGGGACCAGAGGTTGTGTGTGATGATGGAGAATGCACTGGGAGAGAGTCGGAAGCCCTGGGTTCTTACGACCCTGAGTAAGTCACATCCCCTTTCTAGGTCACAACTCTCATCCGCAAATAAGAAAAAATACGAATTTCAACACTTATTCCACTGACTTCATAGGGCTGTGGGTAGAGCTGAGTGAAGATGTCAGTTCACATCCCTGCTCTGCTGCGTGCAGGATGTAAGACCTCAAGCAAGTCACTTTAACTTGCCAGTGCTTCGGTTTACCCATCTGTAAAATGGGCATCATAGTTCATGTCAAGCTAGCATTTACCAAGCACTTAAGGTTTGTTATGCTCTATTTTAAGCTTTATTTTTATCTTCCCAGGAGTCCTATGAGATCGAGGTTGACAATCTCTGTTTTACAGATGAGGAAACCGGGGCAGGTGGCTCCTATGTCACGAGGTGGTTATGAGGGCTAAATGAGATATTGCAAATAAGAAACTTAGTGAGCGCTTGGGACAGTGTAAGGGGCTGTACAAAGGTGGTTGCCTAATTTTATATAATAATGTAGAAAATCACCTAGTTTAACAGCTTAAAGTGCTACATGGTCATAAGGGGTTTTTCAGGGCTTTAGAACATTATTTCAATAACTGTAACAACAATGATATAAAAGTCTTTCCTTTCGTCCTCTTAATCCACAAACCTGCACATATTCAACAGCATTTCTGCTGTCCTGGGCTCCAGCCTCCTGGGAATTCTCAGTGGGAATACCCATGGCTCTGACACCTATAGGTGCTCTGGCTGAATGGATCAACCCAACTGTGGCTGAGGGTACAGGTCACCCCACTGTGCTGTGGAGGACAAACAACACTTGCCAATCTTTCCATACCCCGTGCTAGGCACTGCTCTAAGTACAACACATGTACTTAGCTCTAATACTTTAGTACTTAGATTAAGTACTTCCGATTTAGTTCTCACAACTGACCTAGGAAGGAGAACCTGCTATGATCCCCGTTTCATAGCTGAGGAACCTAAAATACAGAGATGACAAGCAGATTTGTTTAAGACGTCATAACTGTAAGTGGCAGAGCTGGGATTCCAACCACGCCAGTGCACAGCCACCGTGCTGCAGTAACATGGGAATTTCCCTAGGTTATATTCTGGGCAGAATATAGAGGAGACTTGAAGAGCTATGTAAACAAGGAGTTCAGCATATACTGGGTGCCTACGGCACGGGGCAGCTGGAGCCCCCCCACGTGGGCACACTGAGAGCAGATGACAGGGTCTGGTGCCAAAATCTCTGAGCAAGGATCTTTTGGACACAGTGTACATTCAGGAGCAGGGTGTCATGATTAATATAAAGAGGCTGGAATTAATGCAGTAATACCCTTCTAATCTTTGTAAATGGATTTAGAGATTTCTGTCATGCCAATCCCCATGTAAAGCAGGGGTTCTAAAACCTGGAGGTCTATGAGCTGCCTCAAAGGGCATTCGTAATTTTGCAAAGGTGAGCAGTTTTCTGGGGAGGAGCCATCAGCTTAGTAAAGGGATCAGTGACCTGTCAAACATAGGGCCACTGTCCTAGGGGGACGGGGAAGGGCTGCTGGGCCCTACCTCCAGTGGCAGATTCCACGCTATGTACACGTGAGACTTGTAATCATCCATCCAGACCTCGGCGACCCGGAGGGCGTTCCTCTTGGTGTAGAAGCCGATGTTGCTGTTGTATGGCTTCTTCTTCCGCTCGATGTGGGCCACCCGTGAGCACGGCAGGACCTCCATGCTGCCCCCGCAGAGCCACACCTGCAGGTGCAAGGACTTCATCAGCCTGACAGAGAAATTCCCAGAGGCCACTGCCCCCTTTCCCAGGCTTGACAACAACAGTTCAGGAGACAGCGTGAGTGAGAAATGTATGTTAACACACAAAGCCACTGAGATTTCAGGGTTCATTTGTTACTACAGCATAGCCTAACCTAACCTGACTAAAACAGGTAGAAAAGAAGGTTTGGGGGAATTTTTATAGCTACAACAGCTCAGGATATTAAAACCCAAGTCTTCCTAAGAGAGGCCCATAAATCTGAGGTGCCCTTGGTGACACATGGGTTTTCTTAAGTTCGCAGTAGTGCACAATTGGCATCCGTGAAGGTTTTCTTTCTCATCTGGCTGAAGGTGAGCCCTACAGAGCTGTAATGGAAAACTCAAACTGAAAACCAGACTATTTTTATTCATATCAGCACGAAGTGCACAATAATCTAATTCTGCGTGGTTCACATGCTCTATTTTGGAGTCTTAAGATGCCTGGCCTTCTGGAAACATCCACCCATTGCCATCATGTACAGGTGTCACTTGTTGCTGGAATAGTTAAGTAGACGGCTAAAATGTTAGTTGCCTTTAAGGGATGCAAAAGCCCAAGGAAGTGACACTTGCCATCCTCTGCGTGAGCATGGTAGGCTTCCAGGCTCAAAGGCCCTGCTCCCAGAGGAAAGCAGGACCACCCAACTTGTCTCAGTCCCAGGCAGGACAAACAAAGCATTTCTGATTGTCAAGAAGGACTAGTTTGTGAAAATGAACTTCCTGGTATGGGTGAGGAGAGGAGGAAGAAGACACGGGGAGGTGTCAGGGACCCATGAGACTATCCTGTATACTCTCTATAAATGAGAGCATGCGTCTAAATGACTCAGGTCACCACAGACAAAGTATGCTCCTCCCAACTTCACGCCGTTCTACTTTCAATTTCCCTAACTCCCTCCTTGAGGATGCCAGGACCCTCTTGAGAGTTTGCACACCTCCCCGGGCTTTTGCTGACTGAATTAGGTGGCAAATTCATGTGTGCGTGAGATCGTCTGTTTCTATTCCCCCCCTCTGGCTACCCCACAGGGAAATGATACAAATGGAAAATTCTCCCCATAGCCAAGAGTCTTCACCTTACTTGTTTCTTCAAGGAGGAGACTGTGAGCTAAGAGACTGGTAGACAGTGTGCGGTCCAGGCTAGTTTGATTTGTGACCTGTCAAGTATCTGCCCCCGTGAGCGGGGGCAGCCCCAGCTGTGGGCAGTGAAAGGAAGCCAAGTCAGGGAAGCAAAATATGTCAAGAGGCCTGTTGGGGGAATAGGGGCAAGAGACCTTACAGGGTAAAATAAGGTGGTTGACTTCCCAGGAGTGAGCAATGCACAAAGCCACAGAGTTCCATGGGTATGTGGCCAAGGGCAGGTTCAAGATCCTGGGAATGAACGGAAAGACATCTCATGCTCACAGATTGGAAGAATTAACATTGTTTGTTAAGTCAGCAATACTCCCCAAATTGATTTAACATTCAACACAATCCTCATCAAAACTCCAGATGGCTTCTTTGCAGAAATTAACAAATGGATCCTAAAATTCACATGGAAACGTGAAGGACCCAAAATAACCTTGAAAAGAACAAATTTGAAGGACTTCCACTTCTGATTTCAAAATTTATCACAAAGCTACCATGGATCAAAGACCTAAACATAAGAGTCAAAACTATAGAACCCTTAGAAGAAAACATAAGGATAAATTGTCATGACCTAGGATTAGGCAAATGTTCACCAGCTGATGAATGGATAAATGAAATACGGTATATCCACACACTGGAATATTACTTAGCAATAAAAATAAAATACAGACAGATGCTACAACATGGATGAATCCTGAAAACATTATGTAAGAGAAAGAGGCTCATCCCAAAGGACTGAATATTATTTGATTCCATTAATATGAAATGTCCAGTAAAAGAAAGTCCATAGAGACTAGAAAGTAAATTGATGGTTGTCTGGGGTTGAGGGAGGGGTCGGAAGAATAGAGTGACTGCTAGAGGGTATGGGGTTTCCTTTTAGGGTGATGAAAATCTTCTAACGTTGATTGTGGTGAATACGGCACAACTCTTTGAATATGCTAAAACCCATTGAGTCATACACTTTAAATGGCTAAATTGTAATAGCACGTGAATATCTCAACCAAGCTGTGACAAAAGTAAATAGATACATAAATACACAGAGAGATGGGGAAAAGAAGATTCGAGGGATGGCTTCCAGTTCGGGGAGGCTCAGGAGGACTGGTGAAAGCAAAGCAGAGCTCAGTGAGGACCAGTGAGGACCCAGCAGGGATCTCAGATGCAGCTGTACAAGGGCCTCAGCAAAAGCCAGAAACCTGGTCACGAGAATGGAGATGCCAGGTGGGAACAGAACAGCAGTCAGGCTGACGGGGTGCCCAGTCCTCTGTAAGCAGTCCAGACCAAGGTCGGGATTGCTCCAAAGCCTGGGGTGCGACCAGGCTCCCAGAGGGCTCGGGTGGCCTTGGCTGCTAGGAGTCGGGAGAGAGGGCAGAGGAGCCAGGCTGGACCCTGTGTCAGATCCCGCGCCTCTTAAACAAGGGTCGGAGGTGATGATGGTGCACCAGGCTGGAGGCGGCAGCCCAGCACACCCATCCTGTGCGGCAAGGACTCTGGCTTCCTGCCCTGGGCTCTGCCATATGGACATCAGTTGGTAGACTTGGTGGCCCCAACTCAGAGCCACTCAGTTCTTCCCAGAAAGTCTGGCGAGGGGCTAGGGGCTCTCGGACTGCTAGGTGTCTTAAAGGTACACCCTTCTGCTGGGCCCAGCAAACCTACAGTGAGTGGCCAGGGTCGGTGCTGGCCTGAATGCTGGTAACACTGTCACAGACTCCCTTCTCCCAGGTCACATTCCTGTCATCCTCCTGTGCTTGCCTGGCTTTGGTCTATATCTCAGCCTGTCGCTTCGGTGACTCAGACCGGATTTGGGGTCATACGTGTGAATGACCAGCACATCTTGTGTGAGACAATGACATCACCAGGACACTCGAGCTGCAAACTGCTCTGGAAATATCAGGAAGGAGAGGCAATTCAAAGCATGAAAAAAAAAAGAAAAAAATGTACATAAACCCCCCGTGGGTTTGGGAGGAATTGAGCACGGTCCCTTGGGCCCTGAGGGGACAGCCCTAGCCCTCGGGCAGGTCCTGGGAGCTCCTCTCTGCCCTGTCCTTCCCCATCCTCCACTTCCACAGACCTCACTCTGCCTGCTCCAGACCCTGGGACCAGCCGAAGAGTTACAGCCAAGCACCAAACACCAGCTACCTCATTCAGTCCTCACAGATGAGGACACTGAGGGTCTGAGAGGTTATGTTGTTAATAAGCCACAGTCAGCAAGTGGGCAGAACCACATCCGTAGCCACATGCCGTGCCCACAGGCTAGCCCTTACCTGGTGGACATGGTGGCTCTGACCCGTCTCGTCCAGGAAGAGCTGCCCTGCGGCCACGGGTCCCCCAGCCCTCCCTCGGGGTGCCTGCTGGCACCTCTGACTTGCACTGTTGCCGAGTTGAGCAAGAGGGAACAGCCTGTGTGTGCATGGCCCACGGCAGCTCCACAGGTATAAAGTGTGTCTGGAGAGGGGACGTAGGAGTTAGGGAAAGGGGAACAAAACAAAGGAAAAAACGGAAGCAGTCCAGAAGCTACGACATGACAGGCAGAGAAAGCAAACCAGACGGACCAAGGGCCATTATCATCAGAATCAACGCCAGGAAGCTCTAAGTCTCTCCAGCATCTCCTCCCACAAACCCGGAACCACCCTGGTGCTTCTAGGAATGCTGGTCTCTGGGACCCTGACTGGTGATGTGTCTCCCCTTGCCGCTGTCACCGCCAACTGGCCCAGCCGACCCTGGACCCAGCTGGGGGGCGTTCTCCAGCAGGAGCTGAGAGGTGCCAAGGGGAAACCAACCATTTTATTCTCTAATGAGGAAGGGCCACGGGTTCCATTTTCCCCAGAACCTGGGCACACCCATTCTCCCCTCTGCATGAACCCCAGTTTTCTCATCTATAATTAAGGGGGAGGCTACCTCTGAGGGGCCTTTCAGCTCTGGCTTTCTATAGTTCTCTAGACCACAGTGCCCTGCTGCAGGCCCAGGGGCGTCCCTAGAGGATGCCTTGGGATGGCCATGGGCACCTCGCATCACAGCATCCTCCAGGGATGCCCTGAAGCTGTATTTTCACCTGATGAGCCAGTCCACAGCCCCCAGGCTACTTACTGAACCAATTTCTTGAAGGACATTTTCTCGTCCTGGCATAGGGCGTCAGATAGACACCATCAGATCTCAGATTAAACCATGGCTGAGTGTGCCAATCCTGCTTTTAATCTGTCCCAGATGTCCTTCTGGGCAGCAAACCTCTGGTTCTTAGATCACTTGCTTTGTTATACCATTATCAGTTGTTATTATCAGCTGTATCCTTGGCTTTCTCCTGGAAGCCAGTTTTCATATTCCACAAAACAAATACTATCCCTTCCCAGGATGTCACGGTGAGCAGAAGGCAAGATGGCTGAGTTGGGCTGAGATGCTGGTCTTCCTCGCTGGCCATGGGGCCCCCAGCACACTGGTCTCTCCTGCTGCGGGCCACGCATGGGCCAGGATGACCCAAGACGGTGTGTCTTCAGCATCATTCACCCAGGGGACCAAACTGTGCATGTCAAACTGTCAAATATCAGTTTCTTTTGTCTGAGGGATGTGGACTTCCCCTGATCGGTGAACATTTCATTAAGAAAGAAATTAGTTAAGAGAAATTGATTTTGTCCTGAGTCCTCACCCAACCCAGACCAAGGCCATTATCTCGGTCTTAATGAATTAACATTAACCCTGCCCTGGATACCAAGTGAGACGCGGTGGACCTGCCTACCGCCCCTGGAGCAGGAAATGAGTAGGAGCATCTGGGCAAAGGCAAGCTGCCCGGGGCATTATCGACTTGTTTGGAGACGCACTGCAGAGAACAGAAGGAA